TAATTTAAGGATGTTTGACTTTTCCTGTTAAAATACTGATTAGCTTTTATGTAAGCAGGATGTACAGCTATTCCTCTCCACCTACTTAAGGTCAAAAAACAGGCACTATCACTGCCAAAAGAAGAAAAAAATAACTAAAATATCATTTCTTATCTACCTTTAACCTTGTTGTAGCTATCCATTGTTACAGAGACAGGCTGCTACAGGTTTTAAAAGGCTTAAGGTTCACTATAGCCTTTGCCACTATTTAACAAAGGCATTGGTAAAAAAGAAATTTTTTAGCAAAGCTGCTACTGTTTTTGAATCATACCATTTTTTCGTCTGAAATAGATGATTATGGTCACTGAAAGCAGAACAATCACAAAACCTGTTTAATAATTGTTAATAACATTTTTAATTATASCTGTTCTTAGGTTTTCATTGAAGTCACTGCTTAGATGCTAACATAACATTTGGCTGCCTGAATAGATGGTCCTTAACAGGAGGCAGATTTGCATATAATCATATCAATACTGAAGTTATTTGTGCTTGTTCTGATGATTGAAAGATAATTTTTTGAATAATCTCTGTGACAACTGTCTTACAGAACTTAGGAAAGCGTGAATAAAAAGCTTCTTAAAACACAGCACCAGACCTGCCTGCTTGCAAATTACAGAACAGAATCTCCATTTTGAAGCGCAGCTGGATAGATTTTACATCTCCAAGTTGATACAGTTCAATTACAGCTGACAGAGCATGAATAGATAAATTATAATTATACCAGTTCAGTGAATATGTTGCGATTGAGCTGTTTCTAACTTTTTATCATATCAACTACAGGTAATCAATTTTTCTCATCAGAATTGTGTCACCTCTCTCATAAGAAAATTTATGCCCGAATTTTTTTGGCAATTCTCAAGAAGACAGTCATCCACTAGGAAGCACGCTTTTAGTTTTAAGGATACAAGATGCAACATCTCTAAGACTCATAGGAAGACTTACGATTTAGTATATAACATTAAACCACCTGATATAATTAGGAAATTGTGAATTATATTTTTGATCCTTAATCTCCCACCGAGTTTCCTTGAGACTTTTTGGGTAGACAGTTGATTCTACAGCTTTAACATCCTATTGCCTGTCTCATTTTCTATCTTTTCTATCTTAAAGCGCTGGGATAAGAAACCACAAAAAGATACGAAACTTTGTTGTTGTTTTTTGTTTTGGTTATATTACACAATGCTCATCAATCTAAAAATCTTTATGGTGAAGCATAGGCCACAATAAGTAAGCACAACTTTCAACCCAAAGTTTCTTTATACAATTTAATATCAGGGTCACTCTTTGTCCCAAACAAAACTTATTGATTATATTATTCAAACCCTTCAAACTTTCTAAGTAGCTTACTTTAAACTTTTAAATAATTCTAGAAAAAAAATCAAATTACAATAAACATGATTCCTGTTACATCATTGCTAGCATATTCCTGCTCAAAAGGGAACCACTTTGCTAGCTGAGATAACTACCTTGCTACCAAACTGGTTTTCATGTAATTATTTTCTTAGCTTTGACTCAGGAGGCAGTTTCACAACCACTGAAAGCTGATTTAAGTGTCTGCAGTCACACATTCCTTTTCCCCACTCCTGTTCACACCCTTTCCCTTATGCTGGCACTAGGCTTGGGACCAAAACACTTGGCTGAGGTGAAGGCAAGATTTCCATTTCTGACATTAGCACAGACCTACATGTTTTTATTGGCCAAAGCCAGTGTACATCCTGACTGCAAGCAAAATCAGTCTCTTGCACATTGACTGTATCAATTGTTGAAAATGACACAGCGTACGGCTCATAAGCAATTGCAGTAGAGATTGCAAGTCCACCAATTTGGAAATCAGCATTTGAAAGGATTTTCCTAAAAGCATCCCCCTGAACCACTGTACACTAGGAAGCGGCAAGGCAGCCCTTGCACTGGGCAAGGCATTTCATCTTGGTTTGTCACCTTTGTCTCCTCCTCTTTTCTATACTACAAATCTTACCTAGCCCTCGTTCTGAAATTAAATGCCTATTTGGTATTACTTGCCTGACAACAAAGAAAAAGAGAGGGCCATACAAATGTATGACAGCTTCTCATCTCCAAGAAAACTAACTTTTCTCAACAGCAGATCAGATACAGCTCTTTCTGTGGCAAACTGAAGCATACTCTTGTAGGGAGCTGCTGCTGAGCAGTCAGACTGACCATAATACTCACGCAGAACAACAGAAATGAAAACAGGTCACTTTATTTCATTTTGCTTCTACCTTTACAAAAACCTTTTTTTTGTTGTTGTTGTTGTTGCAGGTTACAGAATGCTGGTATCAGCTGCTTTCTTGTCCTAATTGCTGGATGGTTTACTGCAAAGTCGTGGCTGCAGTTTTCATGCTCAGGGTATTGGTGTTTTGTACAGTGCAAATTCTGCTAGACAGTAGCAATTAATAATAGTGAATAATAATCATGAATAAACTCTGCACGAGTCTTGAATAAGACATTGCTACATACAGAAGCAGAGCTGTGGGCTGCAGCTACTCAGGGAGAAGCTGAGAGAAGAAATTGCAGAGGGTTCTGAATTAGACTGAGTTTTATTCCATGCCACGCAGCAACACTGAGGAAAATTGTGCAACAAAGAAAATACAGCTTTGCTTCTTGGTATCCTGAAGTAGAGCACAGCATTTCATCCAGATCATATAAGACCCAGAAACCTTCATATGATATTGGGACATCTAGATTCTGCAAAAATTTCTTCTTAAACTTTTCATCTTAGACTACAACATCTATTTGCTCACTATCTACAAGGTTTTGTTCAACTAATTGAATGATTTTAACTAAATTAAAACTTCAAATTTGTGACAAGAAGGATGAATTTAATCCCATAGAATGTTGGAGGCAGAACAGACTACAGGTAATCTGGTCCCTCCAAGCAGCTGATATCTCATGGCAAAAGAATTTCTAGGTTTGGGATATAACCTATTAGCAATGAAATAATACAGCTACATCAAAGCCTTGGGTTTAAATGAAGGAGTAGGTGATCTGACTAAAGCTGGGACACACCTAGTCCAAATCCAACATAGGCAAAGACAAAGCAAAGGTAAAAGTTCAATGCTGTAGCTACTTTCCCTTATTTTTCTTCCTTCCTTTTTTTTTTTCCTTTCAGCAGAGCCATGATTTCCAATAGTGCATGATTTGCACTAAAATGGATATTGCTCATCCCAAGAGAACATTCATAGTAAGTAGAATAACACAATGTAATTTTTTGATACAGTATTTAAGTTCTTTCAGCTAAACTTTACCATATATTTTGTATATACCTGTACAGCTGAAAGTACCTCACCTGGCAGCACTATTTTAGCAAAAAATAATCAAGTTCTGAGTTTGTCACCTTAATTGGAACATGCAGTCATAGCTYTGCACTGAGAACAAGCTCTCTCCTGAATCTCAGAATCTATCTTCCTAGCTGTTCTAATGCCTCCTCTCTTCAAATGCGGAAAGTTGCCTAGCCCACAGAAGAATKAGTGACTAATTGGAAAGAAAAATTCATATTCCTTTGTACCCGAATAGTCTATGTTGAAAGTTTGTTGAAAGACTCACGAGTCATGCTGGCAGTGTGGGAACTCATGCCCGAGCCACTAATCTTCCTTTTAACACCGCTGCTTTGTCTGGTCCTTGAAGATAAAGACTGTATTCTTCGAACACCAAGAGCTCAAATTGGAAGGATCTGCAACTTGGTTAACAGTTATTGCTCTCTTTTGCTAGTCACCACTGTTTCAATAATTCTTGTTTATAACCCCTCGTAAAGTTCCACATAGTATCTTTAATGAATCATTACACATAATAATTACAACTCTGTGTTTGAAAACAACAACAAAAATTGCACACACAGCAGTGAAGATTGGACGATCGGAAAGTTACTCCACAGCAGCCTTTTGCTAGGGCAAACTCGTGTGGGGAAAGAAAAGCTCTGGGGCGAAACTCTGCTGATGCTGCCATCTCTTTTCTTCACCAGTGGGCCTGGCTGCAAACAGGCTGAGCAGAGAACCTCCCTGCACCTTGTACTCTGTGAATAATGGTCTGTGTGTTCCTGTTCTCAGCACTCCCCCTCCCACATAMGCCATCACCACCACATGCTGTTCTGCCATCACCACCACATGCTGTTCTTCCTTCACCTTGTCTTTCCACTTCCTCCACTCCTCTTCATCTGCACTCATCAGACTTCTTCGAATGACAAAGTAACAGAAAGGAAAGGCCCTGCTGGCATGCTGGGTAGAGCATGGGTGGTTTTTTTTATATGATCAGAAATATGTGCTATGTGGTTGCAAAGAGAACAGTATTTTGGCAAGTTATTTTGTGAAAACAAGGAATTAAACAAATGATCTAGTTAAACTTGAAGACCATACTTCCTTCTAGACATGCTTTTACAATTAATAATCCCTTCCGAAATAGTCTTCTTGTTAAGGGTGCAAGTGAAATAAAACTCATTCTACTTTATATGCCACAATGTAAAAAGCCTTTAAGAGAGGTGGATAAAAACAGGAGTCCGCACAATTTTAAAGTAAAGCTGCAAGCTGACCATCCTCCTAAGATCACTACTGTGCAAGTATTCTGTCATCACTTCACAAGGTAAAAACGTTACTGCGATTTTTCTTCACTCGTTTCTCTTTCCCTTCCTTGAATTTTTCAATTTCATTTTTTCAGGTATAATGATTTACAGCTATTGCAAACCAAGTGACAGCATAATCAGCTGCATGTTATATACTAACATAATGCAAGAAATGTTACAAATACTACCCATTGGCATATCCACTGACTACACCAAACCAAAACCATTCAAAATAAAGAGGGCTAATCAGTATCAAAAAGGGATAGAAAGTATGCAAGAATTTCACTCCACTATGACATTCAGGTATTGTGACCAAGAAAGAAAGTGAAGTATAACAATCATTAAAATTTACTTATTTTCTGTATTTTCTTTTCTATTTTTTTCCCCTAAAACGTATGTAGAATTTGTAGAATGTAGAAATACTCAACACAGTTGCATTTGATGCAACACTAGAACACCCCCAAACCAGTTCTCTTTCATATTCAGCAACTTGGGACATAAACTGCAGCAATAAAGAGCAGCAACAGGAAGATCATTCAAGGGGCAGACACACACATTGGACATTACTTGTCTAGCACTCAATTGCTCTAGGTGAAAATTTGCGTTCAACAGCCAACAAATTTAGGAAAAGAATTAAAGAATACTCACAGCTTTGGTTTGGCAAGCACAGGTGGTGGCTCCTTAGTGGGTGAAAGCAAGCCAGCTGGAGAGGAGGTGGATTTATCACCATTTGGTTTGCTGTTAATCATTCCATTTACTCCATGAATGGGATGGATACCATTTGTTTTTTCCTCAGAAGCATCGTGCTGCAATTGAAGGGCTGTCACACCAGATCTCAGTTCAGTGTTGTTGGCCTGCTGGGTCTCTGTGTGTTTCTTAGGGGGAAGCTCAAGAGAGCTGATTTCAACTGGAGGAAGTGGCGGGAAATGGTGGAAATCATCCCTGCTGGTTTCTCTTGTTAACGATTCATGGCTAGAGCTTTCTGAGTTGGCTAAAACAAATCAGAAAGAAAGTCTCYCCAACATGTTGTATACAAAGCACAGGACACAGGCACACTGTACATTAAATGTAAGACCACCTTGTTTCTATGCCGTAGCTGTATCAAACAGATACTATTCTAGAGTTCTCATTGATAATTTATGCCAAATTAGACACCTGACTGGTTATTCATTTTCTAACTTTTCTTGCACCTCAAAAGCAATAGAAAGAACCCTACATGCACCTCTGAATGTGATCTAGAAACTCAGCTACTAATTGAGAGAGTTAAACACTATTGGGCAACAACAGCTGAACCACCACCTCCCTCTTCCTAGAATCTCACGATCTTTTAAGAACAAACCATTTACAAATGCTGAAAGATGTAGATATGGCATGCTTGCAATGGCAGCTGGGTTAGCACATGCAGCAATAACATACATGCAAACATTACAAAACTAAACCTTCCATGTATCTTATTTATAAAAAGCATATGCTACCTTTGGTAGCACAATTTCATCTGTTTTCATTTTGCCTCTGCTGCCATCTAGTCCCAGATTCCTTATGCCTAAAAATATGCCAAGGCTTCTGGCAGACACATTTCAAAATGTATTTTGAATAAAGAATATCTAAGAAAGGAACAAATAAATGCATTCATTTCGCTGTCAGTGATATGAACCATCTGAAGCTCGCAATTTGATTTATATATATTGATATAAATATTGTTGGGTAGCTGTCTCCCATTTTACAAATGACACAAGTGAGACAGAGATGTGAGACTGCCTAGGATGATAGCATGCGTCAACCACGGCACTGGAAAGCCTGTTTTTTGGCTCTCTAATTGCTTGACTGCAACAGGACTCAATGAAGGTGTCTTGACGTTCTTATTTCTTGAATAACAACTCTAGGATAGATATATTTTAATAAACACAAGTAAATATAGTATTATGAATTCCTCAAAGTTTTCTACTTATTTGCCCAAATTACTGTGTAAGGCTTTCTYTCACTTTTCATGGATGCAGTGTTTTATCATGAATCTTACTGGCAATATGCTAGCTGCTTGAGGAATACCTTTTATTTGCTATTTTATATTTTCCACCTGTTCTTTTTGGAAGAGACCTATCCTCTACCTCTGCAATGCTCTAAAAGGAAACAACATCAATTCAGCTGTTAATGCCTGTGAGGGTACTTGGCCTCTCTCAATTAGGAGCTGGACTTTTAAAGAGATTTAGAGGGATCCATTATAGATTTTTTTCACATTATTTGAAAACAGAATTACATTCTCCCACCCAACAATAACAATTTTTATACTTAGATCATATCAGTTCTGACTGAGGGAAACATGTGAAGAGTTCAAGACTGAAAAGGAAATCCACCAGAGGAGTCACTGTCTTAGAGAAGCTTTTCTGCACAGGCAGCAGATGCATATTGTCTCAGATATCAGGTAAATCAATTATTTAAAGGTCTTTGAAACAAACTCCTCCTCTCCTTTAGCACATACCTGAACAGACGTTCAGTTGTGCACTGCTTGTCACTGTCCCATGGTCATTTGTTGCTGTGCATGTGAAAACTCCCGAATCTTCAGGAAATGTTTCTGCAATTACAAGGGTACATATCTCTTCTGCAAATAAACACAAAAATAAATGGCATCATAAAGTATGTGAAGTACTATGAAGTCTTCGCAGTGCATGTTAGTAGAATAGCGTAAGATTTTCTGGAGACAAAGAAATGTCAGGAAAACTGTAAAAGAACTTAAATAGGACATAGCTTTAATGAAAATCATCTTGTATGTGAACCCTATAGATGTACACGACTCAAGTTTTCAAAAGAGCCCTCCCAAGTCTGCACAAACCTTTTACACACACAGCAGCTCATTCCTATGCAGGACTAGTACAGACACATACAAATCAACTTATCAATGTCCACTTATCATTGATTCTTCCAAGTTCTTCTGGAATCGGTGTAAATAACATGAGCTTATGAATATCTGTTTAAAGGAAACCTAACAAAAAGAACTACACAGAGGGAAATAAAGCATGTAAGGGCATATTTGTGTTGAACTCGCAGCCCAGTTTGTGACTCACATCATTGCATCACCCTTTCGTATAAACTGACCAGAATTAAAGACCTTGGATGCATACGGTACAGCCCGGAGGCAGCCTGGGAAAATAACCTCTCTCCTTTCACAACAGTGAAAATGGTTAAATGGAAAACCTAGGACAAGACATGGTCCCCAGAAATTCCTCAGAGTGCTGAAGGCTCTGCGCCTGTTCCGAATCCGGGCATGCTACTTTGGCATCCCATGATAGATGCTTCCTGCCTCACTTATAGCAGGGTCCCAGGCAGAAGCCTTGTATGAAAGCAAGGCTCTTCATATTTCAGGTTGTCTCTCATAAGACTTTTTTTGTCCCAAATAAGTTTTATTCGGTATAACTGGCATGCAATTATCTATGCATACTTTTTCCAGATTCTTCAAATAAGTCACTTTATCTCCCATTTTTTTTCCTAAAACCTGTCAATATAGCTAATCTAAACAATCCCAGTATATACACAGCACACCTTGATAATCTGAATTCTGAACTAAACGGGTTAGTCCAGGTCAAGGAAGCCAAAGGTTTCTCTAGTTAATTAGGAATTTCATTTCATTCATTCATTTCATTACATGCATGAAAACTACTCTATAGAAGAGCTACAGTAAGGATAGATTCATTTCTTACAGTTTAAAAAACATAACATTTTCCAGCAGTTATCTTTTCCCTTGACAATTTTAATCGAAAAACGGTGGATCAGTATTTCATTTAGTTAAAAAAATCAACAAATTTTTTACTTTTAAATGACAATGCAACCAAGAACTTTCTGTGCTGGAGACAGGCTAAAAATGAATGACGAATAAAGATTTGGCACAGAGTTGTTTTTCAGACAGCACAACACGCTTTTTTTGGCAACACAGAACAGTGATTCCATGTAGCTGCGAGAGGCATGTCTGGTAGTACTGTAGCACGCTGGATCTTATCTGACCCAGATGAAGATTAATGACTCATGAAAGGTCTTATCAGGAAAGTAATGGGTAACACGCTAGTTTTTGGACTACTGCGATCAATTTTTTTCAGAGTCTTGGTGTGTCATAAGCACACAAGCTTTAAGCTGTGCTGTTGAATACATATGCATCCTCCCTCTGGGGATGCAATTTGATACACAGGGCCCAACAGTTGCCAAGTAAAGAGCAGCAGAGTTCTGAAAGCTGGGTATTTCAGGACTGCAAATGGAAACCATTCCCGCCATGCTGAGAACATGAGGGAGGGCAAAGGTACCAGCAAATATAGCAGGCAGCCCAAACTTATTCTACAAACAGCACAACTAATTATTATATATTGTTCTTTCCAAGTTTTATATACTTGCTTATATAACTATTTTTCTTCCTGTTGCTGTGCTAAGAAAAATCTGATGATTTGAAGTAAATAATGTCTGTTCTACTTCCCAGCAATCATTAGCTGACAGATAATTTCATCACAAAAATGTGTTCCAGAAAGCAGCTCTGAAAAGCTCAAAGCCTTAAAACATATTTAACACTTGACTAAATGAATACAAAAGCATTCTGTTCACTGAAACATGTAAAATGCTTAGGCATGCAAGTACTTGACTATTTTTCAGTTATTTAGCAGGAAAGATTACATTTTACAGGGTAATTCTTTCTCTTTATAGCTCATGAATCCATTAGGAAGAAATAATCTTTTCTGAGGCAAACTCCAGAAAACTGYGGTAATTTTTAGATTTCATCACTGAGTATGTGTTTATCTCCAAAATGTTTCTACATATCACTGACTAAAGGTAAAATATTTGTAAAATCTGCAGTTTTAATCTCCAAATGTCATCATTAGCTTTCTCCAGTGTCACATATACTGTGCTGGGAAACACATAGTGTTTATTATTATTATTTTAATGAAATGCCTAATTCTCTGGTAGGGTATTAGCCATCGAGGTAGGGTATGCATCAAGGACATTAATAGGATTTTAAGATTTACATCTTCTTTAAACAAATTGCAACTGTTTCAGTCTATGCAGATAGTAGTTTCAGTTGTCAAGCGGTTCTAGGAATCAATTTTCTAACCAGCTGAGTAAGCCAAGTGTAGTTCATTCATCACAGAGTAGATTATTTTGTTTTGACCCTAGGTGCTCAAAGTGGCTGAAATCTAGCCAGTTTGGGTACCTTTCAATAGGAATACTGTCATAGTAGCATGGACTTTAGCTCCTAAATGTCTGGTATTGAGAAAAAAAAACAAGCCAATGTTAGAATCAAGTTCATTGCTAAAGCTTATACTAAAGCAGTTAAAATGCTAGAGATTTTTAAACCAACTAAGTTGAAGTGTATACAGCTAGCTACACAACTGTGATGAGTAATGCATCCCAGTAGCTTTGTTTAAGAGAAGGCTGAGAGGTGATCTTATCAATCTGTATAAATACCTTAAGGGAGGATGTCAAGAGCAGAGGGCCAGGCTCTTTTCAGTGGTGACCAGCTATAGGACAAGAGGCAACGGCCACAAGCTGAAGCACACAAGTTCCATCTGTATTTGAGGAACAACTTCTTGACTGTGAGGGTCAGAGCAGTGGATCAGGTTGCTCAGACCAGTTGCAAAGTCTCCTTCTCTGGAGATACTCAACATCTGCCTGGACGCACTCCTGTGCAACGTGTGCTAGTGATCCTGCTTGCACACAGTGGGTGGACTAATGGTCTCCAAAGGTCCCCTCCAACCTTAATCATTGCGTGATGTTGTGGTTTATATATTAACAATAAGACACAAAGTAGCAATCATTTCAAAGTCACATGCTCCAAAAAAAGAACAGAGGTTTGCTTTGAATTTAGAAGCATCAACAGACAAGGACAATCAAACTTAAAATGGGGTCATTGACAGGACCAGAATTTGGACAGTTGCCTGGGAGAGTAGAATACAATTGAAAATCTAAGCAATGGCAGGGATGTTGATCAGACCACCTTTGAGGAAAGATAATTTCTTTAAGGCTTTTCTCTTTGTTTGGAATCCTGAGTCATCCAGAATTCACAAGAGTCTTCAAGCTKTTCCTCCTTCCACAGTAGTGAAGCAGTAGCCAGACTCTTAGTCATAATTCTTCTGTTTGCACAAGAGCTGAACTAGCCTAGGATCCAACACGCATGCTGATCTACTGAAGTTTCTGTGTTTTGAAGCTATCAGCTTGAAGTATCAGCTTTCAGAAAGCTGATATTTTGGTGTGGAGGGAGAGAAGGAGCATTTCTATGACATTTGTCATGTATTTTCAGTTTCAAATGCTATGCAAAAATATGTGGGAATTTCCAAGGAGTTACTGGAGATGGAAGCTTGGGTCAGAGCAGCCAGACAGGGAACCAAGAAAGCACAATCCAAGAGAAGCGATGACTATCTTGAAATGCTTTTGATCAACATAAACAGTATCGTGCTTAGAAAAAAAAATATATTTAGCAATTCCCTGGCAATGTAAGAAAAATTACTTCATATACTTTTCCTCTTACATGCCATCAGACAATTGTTTTAATGTAATTCAATACAGTTTGTGGCTGCCTCCAGACAGCTGAGTAATGGTCAAAGTATCAACAGCTGGCAAATCTCTCCATGGGATTTTTCATTCTCAGGCAGCCTGTTCTTTGAAGGATTCAATCAGCATAAAGTCAAAATGTCAAAGAAAGAAGTACAGAGCAGGTAATTTGACAAACTGTGATGTTGGCCTTAAGTAATCTGACTAGCTATTAATTCACAAAGCAGTCTGGAGAGATTTGTGATGCTAGCTGATTTCTGTCTAGACAGAAAGAGGAGTGTAAAACACATTAAGGCAAACAGAATATCCCCACCCCCCCCCCACCCCCCAAAAAAAAAGAGAGAAATAAAATCCTTTTGCTT